ATTTAATATCGACAACAAATACGGTCGATCGGCTCTCGAAGCAACGATGAAAACTATCATGGGGTAAGTAAACTTGCATTGTCATTGTCATTATTATATCCCTAAACTTTGTTGTTTTTTTTTTGCATGTTTTATTTATAATGTTGATTAAAATAATAGATACGAGCCACCATTGGTACCACCACCGCAAGATTATAATGGCGATTTCTTCAAAGATGTTGCGGATGCACTTGTGGGTGTAGGACTTATTTGTAATAGTGAAAATATGCCTGGAGTTCTTACTCTAGACAAAGATTACAATAACATGTCGAAATTTTTAAATCGTATTTTGGGAATGCCGGTTGATTTGCAAAATCGATTATTCAAATATTTCACCGACACTTTGAACGCCATTATTCTTCAAGCTAAGAAGACTGGACGTTTTGATATGGGTATTCTTGATCTTGGTACATCAGGAGAAAATGTTCGTAGAGTAAGACTTTATCGTTTCCTTCGAAAGCACGCAACTGGTACAGCACCAACTGAATTACACGTTGTGCATGTTGAACGTGGCATGAGTTGGACCGAAGCAATGGATCAATGGTCTAAATTAACTGGTGCCAAAGAAGGATTTTATTTAAGTCATCAAATAAGAAATGGTAAACAAACAGCTATTTTGGCAGTTGCTGTTGATATCGGTAAAAAGAAAAACGAAAGTAAAAAAGATCAGTTGTATATGGTTTACAGGTACGTTCAATATAAAGTAGTAGATAACGAAAATGGAATGTTTTCAACATGTATATAATATATATATATATATATTTGTAGGCCGAATACCGGACTTCAATTACGTCAAGAAACGTTAGGTGAATTAGAGAAGAAATATAAAAAAGTTTCAACTGAAGAAGCAGAACCTCATTGGACGCAACAATATGAGGCATCCGTGGATACATGTTCGCACGCTTATTGGCGTGGCAATTGTAAAAATGTCACTCTTGGTATGGAGTGTGAAGTAGGATTACGAAGACGTTCTTATAACGTTTTAGCTGGTTCAGTTCTTAGCGTTTGGAGTCGCGTTGAAGGTGTACTTGCAGCACGATCTGGACATAATTCAAAGATGCAAGTTGTCCGATTGAGAACTGGTAAATTTTTATCCTCTCTCTCTCTATATTTCGAACAAGTCATATCAACATGATTATTTACTCTCTTTAATTAATTTCATATTTGCAGATGAAGGTTTGAAAATTGTAGGAACTCTTATTCCAAAATCTTGCATGGAAACCTTACGTCAAGCACTTTCATCAGATGCAGAAAATACTGAAGAATTAACATTTTGAATGCTTTAAGAACAAAAGGTATAAATAATTGTTAATCATTATCATGATAATTAAACATTACCATGCATTTTCTTGTTCATTTTTCTTACAGATAAGGATACAACCAATTAAATAATAGTGTTAAGTAAAAACATAATGAATGGGACGCATTAAAAGCATCGTGCAATGGTAAAGAACATGTTATTTGCACGAATCGAATTGACCTACCGTTAGAACATACCTAAAAGTAATGTGTTGGGAAGGTTAAACTGTACCACCCATCAGTGTTGTAATGTATTTTCGTCACAGATTTAGCATGACAAGTGAAATAAAAACTCGAGATAAGCTTTTCCGAGTTGATAGTCAAAGGACTGGATAAAAGGACTTGGCAGATATGTACTGTCATCACATATGTATTATTAAAAGAAATCTATCAAGTCCCCCGATTGTAAACCTTCTAATAGGATCTAATAGAATCTTCTTTAATTTTAATCGATGACTATACTTGAGTCGAATTCATATTATAATTATGTGAAATTTTTTTTTTTTTTTTTTTTTTTTTTTTTTTTTTTTTTTTTTCCTCAATATCTTTCGTTAGGAATGATGACATTTTAGATTGGATCGTATCAACATATGTATAAATGTAATAATAAATTAGATTTCGTTTATCGTTAATTATTATAATTAAGAAAAGGTACATATTAAAATAATGAAATAAAATGATGTTATACATTTTATGTGTATTCGTATGAGAAAAAAATGTAATTTATTTATTTTAATTACTCGCAAATAAGAAAATAAGACGAGAGATAAACGTTTTTATGAAGATTAATTATTGATGATATGTGTTACGATCCAATTTATAAGAAAAAATGCGACTGATTAGTGAGAATAGCCCATAAAGGGCTAAAGAAATAATACTAACGCTGCATAAACTATTAGGACGGTTTATTTTTCACTCTCATTATCCGAGTATAAATGTATACGCAATTTTAAGTTTTATTTGATTGATAAGTCGAATCATTAATTAACACGAAAAAGAAAACAAAATATTATTGCTACCATCGCTATAGCTACCATTACTGTTATCACATTACCGCTATTACTATTAGTCGTAGATCTAGACTATAAAACCTATTATCAATATTACTACAATGTAGGGAGACAAGATAATAACGTATTGTATTACAGTGTAAGTTTGGCAACACGATGACTTGAAATAACAAAAATAACTTGCTGTACGATCAAAAATAACTTAGAAATTTTGGTCGTACAATAAATCATTGTCGAGTTATTTGAAGTCATCGTGTTATCAGATTCACCTTGTATAAGCGCCTTAGATTTTCCATATTTCATATTATTCAATAGACAAATATTTGTTTTCTGTATTGTTCTATTCGATTTCAATCAATCCCCAGTGTACATTTATTTTTAATTTTCTTTTTTTCTTTTTTAATCTAGTGACAATTACATTAAATTTTAATATTAAATGGAAAATGAATAATGGCAAAATATATCATCTAGTCTCCCAACATTCTTCATATATTAATACTGTTTAGCATTAAAGAAAAATCTAGATTGAAACAGTACATACGATGATATATTTATATTCAAAAAATCGAAATGCAGTCATGCTATTAATGCATGAGATAGATGTTTGTTCCTTCGTTTGTTTGTTTGTTTGTTTGTATGCTTGTGAGAGAGAGAGAGAGAGTTATGGATGGGTGCTGAGAACAAAATGGATGTCGTATTCCATCTTCTCTTTACAAACAAAAAAGAAAATAATAATAATAATAATAATAATAAAAGTTTAGATTAAAATATGTAGAATATTTTAGAACCGTTAATAAAATCTTGAGTAGAATTCCAGGCAGAATGTTGTAACACAACTTTGAGAAGTAACATTTTTCTTGTGATATGGCATGAAACAATTGATGGATATCAACACTTCCTTATATCCAGGGTCTCCCTTGCAGTAATGCGTAATATTTCAAGTAGCGCTTACAAAAGTTCTTCGTTTCTACGAATACACTATATATTGCATTTATAAACAAATAATTATGTGAAAGACATGATTAACAGTATAGAAAGAAAAACAAAAACAAACAAAAAAGACAAATTCAAAAGCAGCACCTTTTTTCGTAGAAAGAAAATATTTGATGGAGTTATTATTTTTTAAATTTGAAAATTTTAATTAATATATTCATATCAGGATTTCAAGATTGTAAGATACAGAAAAAAAAATTTCTTCAAAGATTTGCTCAAAAAAAAAAGAAAAAGAAGAAAAAAAAGATTCTAGGTAGTTGTTGTAACTACGTGCAGAAAAATGTAAATAATATATTTAAAGTATATATGAAAACATTTTTTTATTACCGGATAATACGTGCATCTTTATATTGAATATTTTTACAATTCTTGTGTTTGAGTTCCTATTGAAAAAAAAAAAAAAAGAAATTATTAATAAAAGAAAGATAAAGTCAAAGTATAATTTATAAATGTGGTATTTAGTATACGTGGAAACAGATACTGCACTTATTGAAATGACTTCTTTCGTAGCGTGCTGTGTTTTCATGGGCTTACACATAGGAGAATCGATGAGCTATGCGTGTCTTGTATGTCTCTGCTGTGAGGATATCTGCTGATGTATGTGTGTGCGTATGTGTGACACGTGCATATGAAAGTGTCTCTTACATGTAAATCAATACATTATAAAAAAAAAAAAAAAAAGAAAAAAATATCAATGATTAATTTGGATATAAAGCCTGATTATAATTCTATTGTATGAAAATTATATCTGAACATCACTGTATATCATATTATTTA